GCAAATTGCTTATGACACTGAAATATAATTAAAAAAATATTTGTCTGACAGCCGTCAGTTGTCCGTTGTTTACATAACAATGGCAATGTATAAGAGTATTACACGTATCATTTATTGTTACATTTAAAGATATTACGCGAACTCGATGCAATAGGCCCGTGGTAACAAAACCTGTCTCGTCCAGCGACATACGTTTTTCAACGATTACATACTATAAGAAAAGAATCGATTTACCTAAGAGTAATAAACATACACGTACGTACAATAAAATAAATTCCAAATCAAGGAACGCGAAAACAAAAAAAAAACATCACACGAAACTGTGAAAATAAATAAACGATCTCCGCATAACAATGGAAATCAACGATTTTTTTTTGGTTCAATAATGTATGAAATGATTGCTTTGTACTATATTTAGTTGCATGCTTCAAACATATACCACTAGAGCTAAGGTGTAGATTCCTCTATTCTGAAAATACCTTTAGTGCTAAACAACTGAACAATGCTAGAAAATACAAAAATATCTAAGATGCTTAAGACGAGGAGACACTGGGCAGGGACGATGGTCCTGAGTCCCTAGTTGTGAGGATGGGAATAAATAACCAGCGAAAGGTTTCAGAGTCATCAGTAGAAAGAAAAGTCATCAGTAAAAAACAACGATCTAGTAGTATCTAGGAACAATCCTAGACAGTAGTTATTTCCAAAAATTGAATGCAACTAGTATGAGGATGATATCATAACAAGAGAAGATAACATGAGCTCAATACAACTATGATACATGTCCTCAGTTTAGAGGCCGACGATGACGATGAGGATCTAGACGGCGAAACAATGTTCGAAATGTAACCGAATGAGGTGTTTCGGTTTTGTCGTCAAATTAAGAAAACAATAAACGCTCATCTTATGAAATACGACTATCAGCTCCTCGAGAAGTCCTGGTAGACAAGGCTTAAACAAGAAGATTAAAAATTACCTCGAGGCCACAATAAATTTGACACTCCCGTATTCGATGACAGAAATTTAATTAGCTCAAATGGGTAAGCAATTAAACTTCCAGAACTACTCGGGACGGATCAGGAATCTACTATAATTTGCAAGTTGTAGTCATCCTCATTTACTTGTGCTAAAGTTTGTCTTGGTATCACAAGAAAGGAAATAGGAAGAGAAATTTACTTGTACATTAGGGCATCTTTCAAGTAATCCATAGTACGGTTTACTAAGAGTTTTCTTCCTCATACAACTTCTCTGTGGAATTGTTTGCCACCGATACGACTTAAGGACCTTCAAGAAAAGAGCTTACTCCTTTCTAAAAGGCCGGCATCGCACCTGTAATTCCCCTGGTGTTGCGGTTGTTCATGAGCAGCGGTAGTTTTTTACCATCAGGTGAGCCCCATTCTCGTTTGCCCCCTCTCCTATAAAAAATCCGGCTATTCTATGCTCTAATTTAATGGTGCTGTTCCATGGTAATGAGCACGGTAACTCTCACTAACAGATATATAGTTATAGACAACCCTATTCCATGTTGGGCCCAATTAGCAAAATACTCCCAACTTAGCAACCGCAGTCGATTATCTTTAGATAATTTTTACTCCATACCGTAAGCTGCTATACCACAATAGAGATTTGGTGGAGCTCAAAATACGGACCCTACGAATTTACGCTACGATAGCCAGAGATTACCATAATGGAGGGTCAGGACATGTTCAAGAACTGAAGAGTTTCTCCCTAAAATCTTTTATCGTTGAAGTTGCCTGAGGAACGAAGACGACAACTATGTATAAGGACAATGTATCTTGCCTCCACCAACGGCTATAATGCAGTGAGAGAACTCAGGTTCGGGGCCCACATTGACGAGAGAGAGGAGTTAGAGAGTTCGGGAACTGACGAGGAAGGCTAACATAATATTCGCCCGTGATCAAGGTATTATTGCTATACAAAGGAAAATTATTTTAAGTTTACCTTTTAACCTATCTTAAGTACATCTCCTATATTAATACATATATTATATTCCTACGACTTATTATGAAAACGCGTGCAGGCAATGAAAGAAACGACAACAGAATATGCGATCTCTTTCTGTCAGAGCCATGTTTGAATTAGATTGTAACTAAATTATGAATGGTACAGGGCGTAAGGAAAAAAAATCTAGTCTTTAAAAATTAAAGGATGTACGTGAAATGTATATGGAAGTATTGTGAAGGTTATTCCTTCAATTAACTTATTTTGGAGATACAGATAAATATATTAAATAGTCGAATTGATAACCTCCTTTTTTTTATCGGTCGGTAAAAGGAATAGTATATTACAGCTCGGTCTTTAATTTAGGTTAATATTACAAAACAAAAAAAATCTAGAGATAATATATGAAGAGATCGGAACTATCTACGCACCTAGTGGTATATGCAGTCAAATGAGCATGCAATAAAATCATCTAATGTCTTTAAGTTTGATAAAGACTTGAACGATGGGTGGTGTTATATTTTAAAGTGTTCTATAAAATCAAAGATGTAACATTAAAATGTATTAGCAGCACCTTGTAACAGTTCTCATTATTTACTTTACATACGTCCACATGTCTCATCATTCACACAATAAGATATATATTTTAATTATACACAATAGTAATAACCATATAATATGGACATTTTGTTTGCATTTAACTCCTTGAACTTTTTAAGAAGGCAAATAAGAGGTTTGAAAATAAAATCAATTAACAAACTTATTGTTTTAACATGGCATTTTTTTGTGGATATACCTAAGGTTCTTCATGCAGGTGAACTCAATGTTTTGACATTGACTGTACTTATTTAATACCTCTATTGTCGCAAGATATTAAATTCAAACTATAGAGTCTAGTAATGTTCTTTTGTGATAACATTATTCCATTTATTCTTACAACATGGTTAAGGGCCTTAGTGTTATGATTTAAGATATTCCAAGCAATATTAATATAAGGACTTCGTTTTCTACTAGAAATCTAATTAAATGTAAAGATCTAATACATTAACAGAAATTAATTATATAAACCATTTATTTAATTACCTGTATTAATTAAAACCATGGAGGCTATGGGAAGCATTAGTGCAAACTTCCACAATAACATGATGAAAATTAAATAATACAGTTAGAAATAATATGCATGCTAAAATTAAACGTAATCTGTATTTCCTGTAAGATAGTCTGGAGGCCCAAAGCAAATTACTTCCATGAATTATCTATAATTATATATTCTGTTGACTTATTATTATTGAGAGTTGAGAGGTCATTGAGAGGTCAAAAAAGCCAAAAAAATAAGTACAGCCATTTTCCAAGAGCTCACGTGACCTAACTGGTCACTATATCTGACGTCAATTCCATATTCATTCAAAACAATAAATACAATGGATAAATAAAAGTTACTCAAACATTTCCATTCAGTCCCGGATAGTTTTTAAAGTCCGAGTTTGACTAAACTGGCCGTAAGTTAACTATATCTTTTCATAAAATTAAGGCGGACATTTTTAAACTCATTTTTGGGAGCGATAGTAACACTTCTAAGGAATGCCCAATCTTGACACTGAAAGATAAAAATTGTACTGCCATAGAAATATTTCGTGTAAAGGCTACTTTCTTAGACTTAATACCGTATGATTTTGTGTCATAATCGGTACAAAAATAAGTTTCAAAACTATGACCGCTATAAATAAGGAGGTAAGAAATACTTCGTACTTCTCAACTCGGAGCATACACTACTACCAGTGATGTCAGAAACGTCACTACTAGTTAGTTATCTTACAGAGGGTAATCAAAAATACAGTCAAAGCTGTTTACATTTATTAGAAAAAAAAATCCAATTCTTGCACTTGACTTTGTTCTGACATAATTTTTAAAGTTTGTTTATAAATAAATATAATATTACATACTAACGTATTTAGTATTATTGTATGCTATAAAGGAAAAATACAATAGAATAATTTAGATAGTTTAATTTGACTCTCAAATTATGGCAATATTTTTTTTATTTTAATCATTTTGTTTGAATTTACACAGCTCCAACTAATTAAATTTCTTGACAGAGCATTAATAATTTTGTTTTACTTACATCCACTTTAATTTTTCAAAATTATATACAAAATATAAGTCTTCTTGGTAATATAATAAATTATATAATGTTACCTTGCAGTGGTCACGTTTCCAACTGTCTCACATCTCAATCTCACACTAGTACCGCTAGTACTGGACGCTCCGAGTTCAATAGGCAGAGTAAAAAAATATCGTAATAGAAACAATTCAATGTACTTATCAGTCATAAGATCTACGTAATTACGTTTAGATAAGAGCATACGTTGTGACCACACTTTAACAGGACAGTCGGCGGCGTTGTGGGGCCCAGCCAATATTGTAGTCATTGCGCTTCGTCATCACTTCCAATAAAGTTTTATTTTCGAATTAGGTGAATTTGTTTCAAAAAGTCGAAAGGATAATTCTGATTCAATTGAAACAAAGCTAACAGCAGCATTATCAATGAGTCCCTTAATGCACAAAAATCAGGGTTGAAAGGACTAAATTAATAGATTACGAAAAACAAATATTAGGCGCGATTTTCAACATATTGAAACATTTTAGTTATCACAAAAAAGTAAACATTATTGGAAGTGACAACTGAAACAAATCACTCTTTACATTACTCGTTTAAAAACGTCCATACAGCGCTCCACATTATCACATTTCTTTTTTCATAAAAAAAGATCAATCGGCGATTTCTCGTTCAACATCCGACAGGGCAGTGGCACAACCCACGTTATCATTTTAATGTTCGTATATCTACACAGTTTAGACACACACAGAACACTACTAGTCTGTAAAGTCACTACGGTAAAGGCTTCAAGGGAAAGTAGTTTTTACGGCACTGTGTTAGAGTTCAAGCCTTTGCCATACAGTGGAAGGGGGAGTAAAGCAGTTTTTTTTATAGAAGTGGTGAGCCCAACGTTCCCACGTGCCACCCTCACAAGTATGTGGATTCACCTGAAAAATGTAAAAAAAACCCATTTAAGCGTTGTGAACGAATGCATATGCCACAAACAGATTTGCTTGTTCGGACTTTTTACTTGTTCACAAGCCGAGAACATACTACATCTATACAAAAGGATTAAAAGATAAATGGCTTTCCGAACAAAATTAAAAGTCCAGACAAGAATTAATGATTTTGTAAGCAGTAGTAATTTTTAAACGCCATCAATGTATGAAAATTTAATTTAACATTACCCCAATGAAATCAACAATGAATAAAACATTGATTAAGAAATATAGATAGTAATTATAAAGACGACTCAAAATAAATATAATATTTTTTATTTTGATTCTAACGGCTTTACTTATTAATCGTTGATTTTTACTTACTTAAATTGAATATTAAGGGTATGTTCCGAAATACAACCCAGTACACTGGCCAATACAAATGACATCATAAATCGACGTCATATTGGTGGTTCGTTGTATCGAATATGGTGGAATACGGCGTCAATTAGTGACGTCATTTGCATTCTCCAGTATACTGGAAACATTTTGGAACATGCCCTAAACATCTCTATACCTGTCTCCTATTGTCATTTAGTGTAAAGAGAGAGGGCAACGTTAAGCAATACATAATTTGACGTCAATTTAATGAGTAAATATTATTTTGTAATTTTTTTCTTCAAGCTATTAATAATAGTAGGAGACAAATATATTTTATCATTTAAAATCAGTCTGATTCATAAAAGTAGACGTCAATTTAAAAAAAATGCTTAAAGTTTCTCTTATTTCACATAATTACAATAAAAAGAGATGTATATAGAGAAAATTATAATTTAAGTAAAGGATAATCAACAATTATAATAAGTATTATTACTCCGTATTCTACGCATAGAACATTTCCACTGTTGTTAATAAATAACATTTAAAAGCAATAAAAAAATATTAGGCGTTTAAAAACTCTGTATGTGGCATGTGTGATGCGCTCAGTGCGGTGCAAAGCGGATGATCTTTGTTAAATATGTACATGGATGAGTGAACGTTGAATGTGTCTGTCGGTAGGGTTGTATCAAATCTTGACCATCGTCATATTTGACGGTAGATAAGTACTAGTAAGTAAGTAGTATGAAATAAAAAAAAATAAAAAAACAAAAATTCCAATGGTTTTTTAACTTGGAATTTATTTGTATGTATGTATATATGTAGCATACATAGGGTACAAAAAGCATACAAAAAGGTTTTTTTTTTCAAACTGACTTTCAAATTGTTCACTTTTAACTTAAAAAGAAAGATACATACATACAAAATAAAAACGATTTAATTATATCTTTATCAATATTATGCACAGAATATTATAATTTTATTTTAATTTAAAATACTCAATGTTGATGATCAACCCATGTCAACGATGCAAAGATAGAATTATATAGCAACATTTACACATAACACACTCCACAAAGAGGGTATGGAGAGAGTGACCATAGGAATATATACAAAATGATCACTCCATCCTTATCGATAAAATAAACAGAAAATAAAACAGTTTTATTAGAACAAATACCTTCAAACAATAATTAAGTTCTTTTAGTTTTGTTTTCTGTCCAGAATTTAGTAAAGAAAACACATAACAATTATGTAAAATAGGTTTATGACTGACATCCAATTATGACAAAACAAGCATGCTAAACGAAAGACATCCAAACACACAAACAGTTATGACACTATAGAAATGACGATTTACGTACTCGTATGTAAAGAATTCATAAGCAGAGGTATAAACAGAAACTGCTAGCCGGCAAATTATAAACATAAATTAGTATAGGGTTTATAGTAAATTAAACGTTATAAGTATAATTTTAAAGATCAAATCGTGGTATGTGGAGCCAAGCGGTGAACGAAAAATAAAGTTTTAAGCGTAAAATAAGCCAAAAACCTTGTTATATTGGTGTAAGATTTGTTATAATGTATTGAGGTGTGTGACTTTTTTGTTGACTGTATGTTTATTGATATTTATATTGAATTTATATAAAATATATTATTTTTAGTATTTTTTGTGTTGTAGTATTGTTTTATATTCTATTCTAGTGTAAATTTTTTTTAAGATCAACAGTAACAAAAATCACCAAATCTCATCCCACAAGTAGTTATACTTACAAACCTGTGAGACCGTAATATCCAGAATATTTATGACCTTTGATAGGAGGCGTTAGAACCTTTCATAAGTGTGTGTCTTTACGTATCCGTGTGTGTATACTTAGCCGTGTGCGTCCATACGTGTCCGTATGTGAGCATACGTGTGTGCGTGCGTGTGTGCGTGTGTGTGTGCGTGTGTGCGTGGGGCGGCGCGTGATATTTACGTGTGCGCGGCGTCGTTGGGCGACAGCGGGCAGTAGCCGCCTACGCGCTGATACACCGTGTGTGAGCATATGTGTGTGTGCGTGTGTGTAGTGTGTGTGCGTGTGTGTGTGTGTGGGGCGGCGCGTGATATTTAGTGTGCGCGGCGTGTGCCGGCAAGCCGCACGCTCTATACACGTGTGTGTGCGTGAGCGTGTGTGTGTGTGTGCGTGTGTGCGTGAGGAGGCGCGTGATATTTACGTGTGCGCGGCGTCGTCGGGCGACAGCTGGCGGTAGCGGCCCACGCGCTCGCACACCGGCCCTGCCGTTATATGTTACATGTTACACCTTACATCTCACTCTATTCACAATAAATTTTTTATAGATTACGGCTGCTAAACAGGAACACAGTCAACCTGATGTTAAGTGGAGGCTGTGATACGTAGACATATACACTTATCCTCAACGTTCATTACATATTAAACAGTATGTAAGAAACCCAAATCCCAATCCGTAAAAGTGCTTTTATGTATGAGGTAGCGCATCATATAGTGATTCTGTTCTTGTAATCCGACCAAATTTTGAGAGAATTAATTTAAAAAAATATTCCTTATAATAATCAAATGGGGGAACTTTTACACATACCGTCACATTAAAACACGTACACACTTAAAAATGCCGTCGCCGACGACGGTGTTACCAGATTTTTTTTTAATTTTAACTAAATTGTAATTAGGTGAAGAATGAATATATTTTAATAACAATAACATTTTTATATTCATTGGTAATATTTTAATTATATTTTTGGCAATGTCAAATCAGAAATAGGTGCCTTCATTTCCGACAGGGTGTTTTTACATATTATATCTTAATATATATAAATTACATGTCACGTTGTTTGTCCGCGATGGACTCCTAAACTACTTAACCGATTTTAACCAAATTTGCACACTGTATGCAGTTTGGTCAAACTTGAGAGATAGGATCTTTTCCCATGAGTGACACACAATTTTTTTTTTTGAGAATTTAAGGGTTTTTAATGGGACATGACAAAGGGTCGTCGAAAAGGGCAGAACAACGTCTGCCTGGCAAGCTAGTATATATATATGTATATATACGGCTTATTTAAGAAATCTTTCGTTTTGCGTTAAGATCAGATTAACTTTATGTAAAAAGTGTATGTAAAATACATACGATTACAACTAACGCCGGCTTATAAAAGGTGATACCTTGAAAGTTTGGTGGTTTTTCTATTTAACATATTTTTTTTAAGTTTTATAGATTACAAACCAAAATTTTGGTATATGATGTTTGACTATATGACCTTGGAATGCATAAAAGGAAAACACAATATCATGTAATTTTCTCGATAGAAAAAACTTGCAAAGTAGGCTCTAATTAGTTACATTTCTCCATGACACCACAATATTCTTACGAATAAGTTCATGGAATTATTTTTAAGGCATAGTAAATAATCATATTTAAGTTCTCATAAACCAGTTTTTTAATCCAAAACGAAGGTTTGTTAAAATAAATAAAAATGTTGTTTGGCGCTTACTTAGTTTTTTTCCGAGCGCTTGCTCGGTATGGCTATCTCATAGATATGCGCACTATGAAGTCATTGCATCACTTTCATTTTGACACTCCCTCAGTCGTCCGTTAGCTTCACCGACAATGGAGTAAGCCACGCCCCCAAAACTTCGATTCATTTTCAAGGTATCCTCTTAAAGCTGTTGTAAATTGTTATTGTTCTTTAAAAACGTATCTTTATACTAGGATTTTTCTCTTGTATCATGGATAAACATGCAGACCCAGATCAATTATTATTTATAGGCTATATTATAGTCCGTACAGATAAAGAATGGGATTATAATGACAATTCATCGAACCTGTCAACATGCACAGGACTAATAGTGGAAACCCGATAATAACGGTATGTCGTTAGAACGTTATATTATTCGGTTAATTTCAAATTTCCTTTTAATGGGAACATATTTTAAAATAATTCTATATTTGTAATTATAAATATATATACAATAGTATTATATATATATATATATATATATATATATATATATATATATAATAGTATTATAAATAATAACTAATAACTAGCGACCCACTCTGGCTTCGCCTACTGGGTGGGATCTAAATGACGACTTAATAACTTAAATAAAGACCTTAAGATAAAATAAATGGTCTTTATCTAAATTTTTCGGATAAAATTTATTCTACATCACTGCTGATATTCTACTTGTTCATGAAGTTTTCTTGCTATCGGTTCAGCCATGCCGAAGATTAGCTCTGATAGGCAAACGAAAATTTTAAAAATGGGTACTGATGTCTCAATGGCGTGTATTTTATACAAATATTAACAAATAAAATAAAACTCTCAGAACGCGTCATTAGTTAAAATTTTAGCAAAACCGGACTGATTTTGTTTTTTGTAGTTTACGGCATTTTGACAAGTTGGACTGAAGTTATAATTTACGAAAAACTCATATTATCGCAATCCAAAAATTTTTTGCAGTCTTTACCGGCGGATGTGAGGATAGATAGCGAGTGTGTAAACGACAGGTAAATAGAGGCGACTTCATTTTCACTCCCTTTCTTTAGCCGCAGGAGTAGTACGAACATTCAGCACTGCAATTAAAACCTGCTAAGACACTGCGCCACGGAGCCGCCAAAAATATTTGGTTAAGTATTTTATATTTTAGATATAAAATTTTCATCCACTTTTCGCACTGTAGAATGGGTCGTAAGAGAAAGCGAAACGTTTTAAACAGAAACCTGGCTAATGTCATGTCGCAAAAAGAATTTTAGACAGTAATATAAACAACGGTATAGGTGTTGGTCGCTTGCAATGTACCTTCACAATGCAGGGAAAATTTTAGTGTAGAAATAACGTTTCTTTAAATATATAAATAAATAATCAAATGCATTTCTTATGCATACTGTATTTACCACTACCAAAATTAGCAACTGCTATATATTTCTGATTTAGAAACAGCTTAAACCGTCACTGCACATCGTGTTTCATGTTCGCGATCTGTATGATGTCACTGTAGCTGTAGGTACGGCTAACTTCAAAGTAAAAAATTAATGTCAAATGGTGATTAATGCCTTGATAAAAGATCTTGTTAAATCGCTATTTTAAAGAAGTTCGTAACCTCTATAAATTAAAATCAATTGTTATCTGTTAGTCTCGCTGAAACTCAAAAACTACTCGAACCATGTTAATGAAATTTTTTGTGTTTGAATGGGTCCCTAGATGGTTTAGGTTTATATTTGTATCAGCCGTGCGAAGCCGGGGGGCTTAGCCAGTATATTATAAATAAAGGTTGCCTAGAAGCGGCTTTCGGCTTATAGCTTTTAGCGATAAGGTCACTCATACTACGACTCATAAAGACATATTACTTTATTTACGTAATTTTTATTTATGGTGTATAATATTAATTAATTTTATATTTATTATATATAAATATATAATCCTAAAACTTTCAACAGCCTTGTTTGTCCACGTATACTGACACCGCAAAAATATGACTCCACCGTTTTTGAAAATAACAGGATAAATGCATAATGTTACCGTTTAAAACCAAGAATGGTTTCTTCTGCTCGTATGTATAGATAGATATTAAAATATCAGTAGTATTATACATATTTTCATTTAACACATCGAGTACAAACAAAAATACCATGAATTTATTTTGAAAAATGTATATAAAATTACGGATATATTTTTTGCTGACTGTACTGTATTAATTAAATCGTAATAGCGTAAATCAAATTGAACGTGTGATTCCTTATCCTTTTTATTCGCTATCGGCTCTAGAGATCATCCGCTCATGCGAATTAACGCCCAACGCTCCACGCAACATAAACATAACAATCAATTAAAAATATATTTAAAAACTAACAATTATTAAAATATTATTATTTAAAACCTACGCTAACTACGTCATATGTGTCACTATTAAAATGTGCAAAAACATTATTTATGTTCAAATTATACTGCATTATTTATATTTTTTACTTATAATATACCATTTTACTCATCTAATCGACTATAAGATCTGGTAGGTACGAGTTTAGATATGTGTTGTCAAACATACAAAACATTACCACAATGCGATAAACTGTGCAAAGGAATGGATTTGATTAAGGTGCTGTTACAGAACATATAATTCAGAGACTGCTAAATACTTTATTAGCCATAAACTTCGTACAAAATGATCCCCAATTGTTTTATGCTTTCTGTTCAACACTAACCTTAGAATTGTAATATCAAGGAATAATTATTTTTACTTAATTTTACAGTCACCAATCTCTCCATACTAATATATATATAATCGCCATAAATTAGTATGGAGTCCACCAGGAGGGTAAAATCAAAAAAAAAACAGTCTTATTATTTTACAAAATAATTAACAACTGCAGTATAATAATTAGGTTTATTTATTTATATCAAATTGACACTAACACATATGACATTTAATTACCTTGTTTTAATTACGTAATTCTATTTATCAATTCGAGTGGCAAATGTTCCATAAACTATAGGTATTTCCATACAATTGGAATACGTTAAATGTAAGTTCTGTGTTTTTTGCCGCAGAAATTAAGTTCTTCTAATAATATCTATAAATAGAGCTTCTTTGATTAGTTTAGGCAAGTTTAGATTAAGATTAGTAATGGATTTACATAAGAGATTTAAGATAAATAGTAAGTGACTATTAATGGATACCGCTGCTAATTTTAAACAATAACCATAGGTTTGTCACTTTCGACGACCAAGAAATTAAATGTAATACAAGTAAACCAAGTGCCACAGATATATTACTTCTTTATCTCCAAATGGTGGCAATTTTCTGTATTGTAAAAATAATTTGTCATTCTTTCTTCATATAAAATTGAAGATTTAGGGTTTAGGTTCATTTTCTGTTATCATTTACTTAGTTATTTTTTTTTAATGTAATTGATATTGATTTTGACCTATTTGCTGTGAGTCCGAAAACTATATAAATGACAATGTTGAAGAAAAGTTAGTGAGATGTAATATAAAAGATGTTGTTAATTTATTTTGGTATACTACAACTATTTAATCTTGTATAGGCAGATTTTTTTTACTTATGTATACATTTTATAAGGTTGTATAACCTTGAAGAAGAAAAAATAGTCTACTTGTGAGTTGTTTTGCTGATATGCTTTTCTAATAAGGTTTCCCTGCAGCGATTGATTTGTGTAATATTATACAGGGTTATTTTCAATAACCGGCCAAATTTAAAAAGAAGGTTCAGAACAAGTATTATAGGCAAATCGTGAAGATAAATAAATGAAAAAAAAAATTTAACACTTTGTCCTTTATGCGTGGTAATTTGTGTGCGCATACCATTTGTAAGGGTCGATTGGTAGGCAAAAACGTTTTTGCCCATAAATCACTTTCAATTTGGGATAATTTAAAGAAAAAGTAGAAGCTTTATTTATTGATATTTTTAAAAATTGCAATAATGGTTTATCATTATTTATATATTTGAATCTTAAGTTTAAAATTTGGCTACTCTTTGAAAAATGAGTGTGTACGGTATAGGCTGAATTGGACATTTATTATAAAGGTTGTGAAATTGTAGTTAGAAGTGGCATGTGTGCGGTGGCTAGTGCGGGCGGCGGCGGGCCTCACCGGAGTCCCAGTGCGCGTCCGGCTCGGTGTCGGGCTCCGAGCACGACGACGAGTCGGAGGCGGGCGACGCGGCGCGCAGCCCCCGCAGCCCCGCCAGCCCCGCCAGCCCGCCGCCGCTGAACGTGGACGACGACGGCTGCCTCTGCACGATCAGCTCCACCTGCCGATACAATCACACATTTGCACTCGCAACAGGACCTTCACTGCTCAACATATCTCATGTCTCATCAACACTCATTTCTACTGACAACTTCAACTATTGATTCCTCATACGAACTGGCTCATTAGGGTCGATCATTCAATATGATAATTTAAAAGATTTTTTTAAAGTGTATTATCGTTTTCAATTTGCGATAATTAAAAAAAAGTAGAAGCTTTATTCATTGATATTTTTAAAAACTTCAATAACGGTATATCATTATTTATATATTTGAATATTAAATTCCTTATAATCGTTAAAATTTGAAATTATATAAAACGAAAAACGACACTAAAGCCAGACAAACATACATATATCTACAGAATATAACTTACGGAAGAACAAAATAGAATACAGTATTTCTTATTAATTTCATTTTTTTTTACTTTTTTTCAATCATGCGGGTTTCAACACCATATTGATATATAAGACCAACTTGATTCAGTCGGTCGTCGGTCATTACTCTTTGATTAGTCACGACTCGCAACTCGTATCATTCGATTTCAATCACACAAACACTTCTTCTCCTTCATTTTACCATTTATGTATATATATAATGCACAATGTTCTATACTTTAGTATTGGAAATGATTAATATTTACTACTTCATAAATGAAATACATTTGCATCTCATATATCTACTATAAAATACAAAAAATGAATGAAGAAATAACTTTCTTCTATAATTATCCTAAACTCAACCTAACGCGAAAATACTTGTGTATTTTCGCCTTAAAATTCAAAAACATATTAGATAAAACCATTATAACTATTATTTTAAATACCTAATAAGCAAAAACAAGCCTACTTGTTGTGTGTGTGTTTTTCACATTTATTATAAGAGATGTTAAAATTGTTCTAACACAAGTGGTAAATTTTTTTTACAACCGCGTTCAATATAAATAAAATGAGCATATCATGAATGTAGTCAAAGTCAATTAAATAAGCATTATTAAAGATAACTCAAAAACGACTGGTCAGATCTTAATCAAATTTATGACCACATGAAAAACACTAGCTTTCAAATAAAAAAGAATCATCAAACATGGTTCACGTTGAAAATAGTTCTGAGGTAACACAAATAAAAAAATACAGTTGAATTGAAAACACATAAATCGTAATAATAAGACAATAGAAGTCTTATTATTAAGATTACACATAGACGCGTGACCTTGTCGCCGATATGATGTGTTGACGAACATCATCCACCATTTTGTGATTTAGTTGCGCGGGGAACGTCGTACGTGAATTTATGTTATTATAATGATGAACTGCAGCATAATCAGTTGTAAAAACTCATCAAGGACGTTTAATTTAACTAAGTATCATTGTTTATACTAATTTACACCTAGATAATTACTTTACTAGGATATTTACTTTGTAAACTTTCATTTATTAATTTTCGTATTGTACAATTACCATTGCTGCTTTTGTTATACCGTAATACGGGACGCACGCGACGTTGACAACCAAGCAATGTAATGTGAAACATTAAATATCATTGTGCAATGCGTATGTTTATAATACGGCTTCAGGCATCGATCGCTTAATGAGTATGAGTAAGATGTGGCGACATCGGTTTTGGCAGTAATCGAGCGCTAAATCATTTGTATTGTCTTATTATTACTATATTATTTATTTATTTATTTACACTTTATTGCACCATAAAAAGATTACAAAGGGCGGACTTAATGCCATTAGGCATTCTCTCCCAGTCAACCCGGACGTGTGGAAATTATGTGATAGGTGACACTTTGAAACTAAAATGAACAATAGAGTAAATTTTCAAGGAAAAAATCTTCTACTGATAAACTTAAAAACTACATCCATTGTTATATTTTATTATTACATTCTTTTTTTTTGGGGGGCTTCTTATTTCAACTACTATGATTCTACACTATACAAAATTGGAGGTAAAACTGATATGATATAAAATTAGTCTCTATGAGTTCAAAATTGTGTACAAAGTCATATGTTTAGCAGTAAAGTTGTAAGATGCAATAATGATGTACATGACATTAAGAATAAATTATTAAATTGGTTTATCAATACATTATAGACTTACCTTAAAATCTGGACTATACAGTTTGTGTTGCTTGTCCTTGTGCGCGTCATCTAACTGCCACTTGTTCAACGTCAGTTTAAACGTCTCCAAGTTTGGACCTGAAATTAGTCACAAAACATTTAATTAACAATGATTCAACAACTTACTATACCATTAAGACAATTTAACGATATAAATTGGCGTTGTACTGAAGGTAGGCCAAATGAAGAGTACCCGAGAAGCATGTCTGCATAGATATATGGATGTAGAAAGAAGCAAAAGAGGGGTGTCAGGATCATGCTAAATGCAAGTCCGTAGGTCTTTAACTACTCCTGATGATAATGTAATGACGTAATTTGTATTTGTTTTTTATTTACTGATCCTATTATCGAAAAGTATAAATTGTGTTTACTCTAGAATCTCACGTATTCCACCCCACAATATCATGCGAAACAAGTTTGTTTAACAATATATTTTAATTAAAGAGTCTACTGATAGATTGACTAATAAAGGTAATGTCTCCAGGTAATATGTGGTGTAGTGGGGTGTAGGGTGTAAAGATGTAATTACCTTGTGATATCAAGTGGAGTAGGGTGTAATTTGGGTAGTGTCGTATAAGATGTAAAGGTGTGAATATCTTGTGATGTTGTTTGTTTGTAGTGTAGTGAGGCGTAGAGTTGAAGTGTGTGTAGCATGTAGTGTAGTATGTATATCTGTAGGTAATTTGTGGCGTCGTGTTGTGTAGGTAGGGCGTTGACGTGACATGACGCCGGTGTAACTATCTTGTAGTGTAAGGTGTAAAAATGTGGATAGTATGTAGTGCAGGATGTAAGGTTTGGGTAGTATGTAAAAATATGACTTTTTATGGTGAGCCATGTGATATTTTATGGTGTATCATGTGAATGGATATGGGATATCGAGGTGTTATATGTGATGTGGTAAAGTGCAGAGGTACCAGGCAGCACTTACTGTCCGTGGGCGGCGGCACGCGCACGGCACCGACGGCGGCGGCCACGAAGAAGGTGTTGAACCAGAAGTGGAAGAGCTTGTCGCGCCGCATCATCTTGGGCTTGCAGTGCACGTCCACGCGCACGTCACCGCGTAGCGGCGTGCAGTGCGCCACCGCCACGCGCACCGCGCGCGCCGCCTTGCGCACCTCCTGGCTGCCCAGCGCCGTCTGCCACACAAATAGACAAACAGACAATCACGCCATCCACCACTTTTCGGCCACCAGGGCGGCGCCACTGAGGAATGAGGTGAAACATTTGACAGATTTAATATCGGTGGGAAGATAATGTTCGAAAAGTGACGAAATAAATGTTTGAATTTGAATGTTCGTCAATATTAGTTATTTTTTAAGTTAATAACATAAGAAATGTATAAACCCAACTACTACGAATTTTCCTAAATCTAAAATAATTTAAAAAAACTAAAAATGTGTAAAAAATTAAAGAATATAAGCACTGAGGGATACATAAATTAGACACCCAAAATCTCATAATTACGTAGAATTTTTTCAATTATAATGACACTGTGTGAATATCTGTTACAAATAAGTTCACCTTAGTACCAACTAGCGATATCTAGTGAACGTAAGATTATTAATTAAGGGTTATTGCGTAAATACACAACAAACTTATGTTATTGTATGAAAGAGTAAGTAACACTAACAACAGTCTCCTAGTCTAAGTGAGGTAGTACTGGGCGTTTTATTCAGAAACACTTTTAAAAAACAGTTTGTCAAAGAAAAACGAACGAACAGTTTCTCGAAGATCCAACATTAGGTTTGAAAACGAACGAAATGAATACATTTCTACATTTCATTCTCGGAACTGTCTCAATCGCAAAAACGTTTACAAACTACATGCTCGTTTGGTAGGTTCATAGGTTGGATCTAAGTTAATACTTTATTACTGTTGCTTTATGAACTATTGTCGTATAAATAGAAAACAGTTTTAGTAACTACTTTTGATTTGACGTTACGACTAAAGCTAAATTAACTTTAATAAATCATTTAAGATAAATCTTATTTAGATCTATACACAATTTAAATTAAATAAACGGCCCCCAGGCCCCGGCGGCCCCGCTATTCCTGGCTACGGTGGCGACCTTGGTAACGGCGGGGTAGGGGGTGCTAAGAATCTCCGGTGGAGGTTCGGTTGCCACCTACGACGACTCGACCTGGCAACGTATAACGCAAACACCCTGAGGACTGACGAGAAGATACTGGAGCTGGAAGAAGAGGTAGACAAGTTGCGCTGGCATATTATTGGATTATCTGAGGTCCGAAGAGAGGGGGAGGACACGGTAATCCTCGAGTCCGGCAACTTGTTCTATCACCGGGAGGGCGACCATCTCGCCCAAGGAGGTGTCGGATTTATCGTCCACAAGTCTCTCGTCAACAACGTTGTAAAGATTGGGAGTGTGTCGTCGAGGGTCGCGTACCTGATACTCAGAATCACCAAACGGTATTCGCTGAAGGTCATACAGGTCTACGCATCAACCTCGGCACATCCCGATGAGGAGGTGGAGGAAATGTATGAGGATATTTCTAGAGCCATGCATTCCTCCAAAACCCACTACACGGTGTTGATGGGAGACTTCAACGCAAAACTAGGCACAAGAGAAAGCGGTGAGCTGAAGTTAGGGAAATTTGGAGTAGGGCAACGGAACCGTAGGGGCCAGCAGCTGGCTGACTTTATGGAGAAAGAGGGACTCTTTATGATGAACTCTTTCTTCCAGGAGCGGCCCCACAGGAAGTGGACCTGGTCGAGCCCCGAAGGTTCGACAATAAATGAGATTGACTGCATTATGACGACCAGACGCCAACTGTTCAGTGATGTCTCAGTGATCGCAAGGGTGAAAACCGGCAGCGATCTGATTAGAGGCTCACTGAACCTAAACGTTAAGTTGGAGAGGTCTCGTCTAATGAAGTCAACGCTCCGTCCCCCTCGTGCTCTAATCCAGAATCCCGAGACTTTTCAGCTCGAGTTAGGTAACCGCTTTCAGTGCCTAGAAGATTGCAATGCAGTGGACGATATGAATGACAAGCTCGTGGAAACTGTCCATGCGGTCAGAGCTAAGTTCTGCAAGACCCGCCCCAGAAGAACACAAAAACTCTCCGATCACACTCTTAATCTCATGGCTGTTAGACGGGAGATGAGGCTGCAATCGTCAACAGATTTGACAGCATACAGGCAACTGAACAGACAGATCTCCAAATGCATGCGGCAAGACTTACGCAACTTTAATACTGCTCGTATTAAAGAAGCGATCGAGCGGAACCAGGGCTCCAAAGTCTTTGCCAGAGATCTGTCTGCCAGAAAGAGCCGATTTCCCTTCTGAGCCGCGTCTACGTGCTGTTTTCGAGAGTCATTACGAATCGTCTCGCACGCAGACTCGACGACTTCCAGCCTCCATGGTACTGAAGCCTTTTCGGAAACAAGCCGGTTTCCGAAAAGGCTTCAGTACCATAGACCACATACATACCCTGCGGCAGATTGTACAGAAAACCGAGGAGTACAATCTGCCACTTTGCCTGGCGTATGTGGACTATGAGAAAGCCTATGATTCCGTCGAAATTTGAGCGGTGCTACAGTCCCTTCAGCGGTGCCAAGTTGACTGTCGGTATATCGAGGTGCTGAAGTGTTTGTACAGTAGGGCTACGATGGCTAACCTATCCAACTGCAGAGAGGTGTAAGACAGGGTGACGTTATATCCCCGAAACTCTTCACCGCTGCGTTGGAAGACATTTTCAAGCTACTGGACTGGAAAGGATACGGTATTAACATCAATGGCGAGTACATCACTCACCTTCGATTTGCCGACGATATAGTCCTTATGGCAGAATCGCTGGAGGACCTTAGCACTATGCTCAATGACCTCAATGGTGTCTTCTAACGGATAGGTCTTAAGATGAACATGGACAAAACAAAGATTATGTTCAATGTCCATGTCACACCTATGCCAGTAGTTGTGGGGAGCACTATGCTCGAAGTTGTTGACGAGTACGTTTACCTGGGACAAATAGTCCGACTAGGTAAGTCCAACTTCGGCCGAGAGGTCAATCGACGGATTCAACTCGGCTGGGCAGCGTTCGGGAAATTACGACACATCTTCTCGTCAGGTATACCTCAATCTCTGAAAACTAAAGTGCACACCAGTGCGTGTTGCCAGTGATGACTTACGGATCAGAGACGTGGTCCTTCACTGCTGGCCGTATGAGGACGCTCAAGGTCACTCAGCGAGCTATGGAGAGGGCTATGCTCGGAGTTTCTCTGCGTGATAGACTCAGAAACGAGGATATCCGCAGTAAAACCAGAGTGACCGACATAGCCCAACGGATTAGTAAGCTGAAGTGGCAATGGGCCGGCCATATAGCTCGAAGAACCGATAACCGATGAGGAAGAAAGGTTCTCGAGTGGCAGCATCGTACCGGTAGGCGTAGTGTAGGGCGACCCCCCACTAGATGGAGTGACGACCTGGTAAGACATGCAAGAAGTCGATGGATGCAGGTGGCTCAGGACCGTGCTTTGTGGCGTTACTTGGGGGAGCCCTATGTTCAGCAGTGTACTTGTGAAGGGCTGTAATGATGATATAGTTTTTAATTTTTATTGTATTTTGTATAAATATTTAATTTAAGTAAAAAATGTATAAAGTATTATTTATTTTTTTGGATCTGTAATAATTTTTAATGATGATGATGATGATGACAATTAAAATTTGGTTGTAGACGGTTGCACAAAAACGAACGGTCCGAGAAAAAACGGTATTTTCGGCTTTCTCTTATTTTTTTTATGTAACTGTTTGTGAAGGTCGGTTTGGTCAAACGTACGTTTTTTTGTTTTAAAATTTAAATCAGTTTCAGTTGTCGTCAAGTAACTCTTGTCTACGCTTACTGTGTTAGCTAATTTCGAATTTGCAAAAAAGTGACTGTATGTTTACGCGCGAAAAGTGTTATATGTGATATATTGTATATATTAATTGTTTAATAGTTTTGTAATATACCGATAAAACCGATTTAATTTGTAAATATCTTTTGTTCTAATATTGTAGATAGTGTAAATAATGAAAACGTGTATATAAAGTGAATTTTTAAATACGCCCGTAACATTTATCAGCCAGTCCTAAGCCTGGAAAAAGTATGTAGGGAAGTTCGCTTTATTATTTTGTAAACAAACATATGGTGAAGTCGTGACGTACACTGCCGGGATTTTTTTTGGAAAACTGTTTTTTTTTAAACTGATTCTTCTGTTTCTCATTTCAAAAAAAAAAAGGTTTCGTTTCGTTTTACCAAAAACCTGGAACGACCCAGTACTAAAGTGAGGTAGAGTCCTCGCGGCGTAAGCTGAGCTTTGCATTTGTGTGAGTGCACACAGATAGTGTACAGTGGGAAACGGCTTGAGGCGCAGCGCGTCTCGCGCATAGTTTAAACCAAGTTATACTGGTTTTTAAAACGCGGCCTGAGGCGCGGCGCATCCTCCACGCGTCGCTTCCCTGCCGCGCACATTCGCCACTTCACCTCTGGTACCGCTAGCAGATAGACGTGTAATTTTTTTGGTTGTGTTCGAATTTTTTGTGAAATGGCTCCTACTGTAAGTAAATTGACTAAACGACCATTAAGTAGCCAAACAAAAGAAATTTTATACAAATTGAATACGTATTTCAAAGATTTAAACGACAAGGATATGTCAAGTGTCGTTACGTCGGCCCAATTGGTAGCGACATCGACGGGAATTCCGCTGTCAACTGTAAAAAAGGTTTTATTAGAAGGTAAATGTGCTTTGGAAGATGGAAGCAAATTTAAATCTCCAAAAAAAAAAACAAGATGCAGGAAAAATATCATTGTGATCGATGATTTTGATAAAGCGGTAATTCGGAGAATACTTCATAACTTTCACATCACCGACAAACACAGGTTCCATTACATTATCCAGGTGCAATTACGTCATTAAGAAAAGAATTATCTCTATTAGGATTCAAGTGGAATAGGACAGAAGATAATCTCAGAATCCTTATGTATAAACATGAAATACGATATCTTCGAATAATGTTTCTCATTAAAATTGCCGAAAATCGCGCTCAGGGTCGCCCAATCCTCTACGCGGGAATCGTGCGGTCCATGGCCCTTTACGGGGCCCCGGTGTGGGCGCGTGGTTTGGCGCGGCTTGCCGTCCACCACCTGAACGCGCCTCAAAGGGTGATAGCCGTGAACATGGTTCGCGGCTACCGCACGATCTCCCGCGAGGCGGCGAGCCTCCTTGCCGGATTGCCGCCATGGGATCTGGAGGCGATAGTCCTCGCGCGCCTGCACGAATGGCGTGCGGAGGCACTATGCCGTGGGGAAACCCCGCTGCCGCGGCAAGTTGTCGCGCAGCGGACAGACTTCCGGCACGATCTCATGGCGACATGGAGACAGCGACTGTCGCAACCCCGTGCTGGGCACGCCACTATAGCGGCGATAAGACCCCTCTTTGAGGAGTGGCTTGAGAGACGCCACGGCATCCTCACCTTCCGCCTGACGCAGGTCCTCACCGGACACGGTGTGTTTGGGAGGTTCCTGCACCGAATCGGGCGGGAGGAAACGCCCGGGTGCTCCCACTGCGAGGATGGACCGGAGGACACGGTGGAACACACCGTGGAGGTGTGCCCTGCTTGGGCGGAGCACCGCCGTGTCCTCGTAGCGGCGATAGGCGGCGGCGACCTCTCGCGTCCGGCCCTGGTCGAAGCCATGGTCCGGAGCGAGACGGAATGGGATGCCGTCACCACTTTCTGCGAAGCAGTGATGCTAGCGAAGGAGGTGGCGGAGCGGGAGAAGGAGAGAGCAGCAGCTTTCCTCCCCGGCCGCCGCGGGAGACGCCCCGGGCGTCGGGGGCTACGTCGTGGCCCCCGGCCACCGTAGGCGCGGGCCTGTGGACGGCGAGCAATGGGTAGCTCGTCGTCCGTCCGTCTAATGACGACAGGCCGTGTCGACGGCGCGTTTTGTTCCACGCGCGCCTCAAAGAGCTGTCAGCAGCGTGAAGGGGCCCGCAAGGGCCGACGCCTGCCGGGGCTGCGGGCTGTTCGAAAGAGATACCGCGGCTCCGGAACGTAAGGGCACTGAAGGAACACGGATGGTTTTTAGTCAGTAAAAGTCTGACACTCCCTTACGCTCCACCCAGAGCGAAAGGGGTCATTAGATGATTTTCCATCCGCAAAAAAAAAAAAAAAAAAAAAAAAAAAGGGTCGCCCAATCGTTTATACTGACGAAACATATATAGACACGTCTCACACTTCGTCGAAATCTTATTCAGATGGAAGCACCTCTGGTTTAAAGAAACCAATTTCTAAGGGAAATCGGTTAATAATAGTTCATGCCGGCGGAGAGGACGGTTTCATACCCAATGCCCTACTCATATTCAAGGCAAACCAAAAAAGTGGTGACTATCATTATAATATGAACACCGAGAATTACACAAAATAGTTGCAAACGCAGCTAATTCCAAATTTAAAACCGAATAGTGTTGTGGTGGTTGACAATGATGCATTGCAATGATGCGATGCATGCACAATTCGTATCAAAATCCCGCGCCCAATTCAAACCATCGTATACAAGCTATGATTGATTGGCTCAAATATGGAAATATTGATCACTCTGGATCGAATCTTAAACCACAACTTTATCAGTTGATACTACAAAACAAAGCAAGATTTGTTGAATATGAAATTGATAATTTCCTCCAAGAACATGGTCACAGCGTTCTACGTCTACCACCCTACCACCCTGATTTCAATCCTATTGAAAATATATGGGCAATGGTAAAAGGATACGTAGCTAAAAAAACGTGTCAATGAATATGGACACTATAATGAGATTAACAAAGGAAAAAGTTGACGCGATCACTGTACAAGAGTGGAAAAATGTTTGTGACCATGCAGTTAAAGAAGAAAAAGCATTTGATGGTCGAGACGCCGCTATCGACGGTTTATCGGAGCGATTCATTATTAACACAGGTTCTGATGAGTCATCAGATGAGAGTGAAGATGAAGATGCAATGAGCGGAGAAGAAGAGTTATAATATTATGTAGTTTATTACTGTTATTACTATAATTTAGGATAATCAAAATATCAGAATTAACTCTTAATAAAACATTGATTTTTACTAACTGTACTTTTGGCGATCACTCACACAAATGCAAAGCTCAGCTTACGCCGCGAGGACTGTACATGACTATTAAATAATAGATACTTTTTTCTGCCTAATAATTCCTCTGCGACGACCTATATTTATCCTTTCATTACTATCAGTTCCTTTATTACTGCTACGGAGTACTATTAAATATAAAAATGTTTTGGTTTCAAAGATATTAAAGCGCCATACAATTATCGACTAAGACAAAAAAAATGAATCCCCTAAGATAATATAATATCTGTGGCGTTCTTTCTTTAAAATTGAATGCGAGTATCCATGCAGTTACCTTAACAGTAACCGCCTACTGATCCATATGAATATTTATAAATTGCAAGGTGTCGTTTTATGGTAATAATTTACTTGCAAATATAATTGCAAACTTTGAAAGATGAAGAATGTGGGTTAAGAATGGGCGAGTTAACCGTCAAATGCCTTTTGTATGCCGATGATCAAGTCATATTTGCGTCATCGGCGGCTGAGTTGCAAATGATGGTTACATTAATGAACTGTTTTTGTATTTGGGATGTGTATTTAGCAAGGATGGTAGATATGATAAGGATATAGAACGACGAGTAAAAGCAGGGAATAGAGTGAATAGGGCACTACACTCTATTATGAAGAACCAGAATGTGTCAAAAAAGGCACGTATGGTAATTCATAATGCTGTGTTAGTCCCTACTTTAATGTATGGTAGTGAAAGCTGGGTGTGGCAGAAGAAGCACGAAAGTAGAATAAATGCTGTATAAATGCGGTCTTTAAGGAGTATGCTAGGGTTGAATCTGAATGACAGGGTGAGAAATTGCGTGATAAGAGATAAATGTGGTATGCAAGATGATGTTGTGACCAGGATTAAGAAAGGAATGCTTCGGTGGTTTGATCATGTAGAAAGAATGAATGAGGAAAGAGTGACAAAGCAAATTTATATGGCAGATGTGAACGGCCGAGTCGGGAAGGGACGTCCTAGAAAAAAGTTTATCGACCAAATTGGCGATATTTTGAAAAGGGGCCACGTTAGAAGTACCCTTAACCGACGAGCATGTATGCGTAGATATATGGATGTAAAGAGGCGAAAGAGGTATGTCAGGATCGTGCCAAATGGAAGTCCGTACTCTCTGCCTACCCCTCTGGGTGACAGGCGTGAGTGTTTATGTATATGTATGTATGTATAATACAGTACTATAATTAAAGCATGTCTAAGAAACATTTGTTAGAATGTTTGTCCTCAAATTACACACGAATACCTAATGAGATTTGGCAAGTAAATTAATTATTTCTTAGAACATAATACAGGTACTTTAAGCACAATTAAAGCTAAAGTTTTAAGCTATACAGTTAACGAACTTTTAATATAGTTAGCATTTTAGCAGTTTAAAACAGTTAATTAATTTACACGCGAGGACTGGTTATACCTATTTAGTTAAAAATAGATTTTTTTTTAAATAAAATTGAAGTAACAAACGCATTTACTGTCTAACTGATAGTTAGACAGACAATGCGTTAGAATACCAGCGTAAAATAGTAGCTTAATGCTGCTGTATTTCGTATGGTGAGTGTAGAGAACCGGTGACCCTTTTTACTGGAAACGAGGCATTCCATCTTAGTCCTCACGGGTGACAACGCATCTGCATTTTAATTCGTAATCGAGGATATAATATGTAGATGTCTATGGGCCACAGCAACCACTTACCATCAGGTGTGTGTACCACTGTGTGCTCGTTTGTCATCCTATCTTATAAAAAAAAAGTTAGTGACTACTGCCGCCTATGAACACCTGCACCAACTTCAAACAAAAGAAGCCTAAGATGTATTGTCATCTCTAAGGATTAAAATGGAACGTCTCATAGCTTTGGAATTATATGCTGTTCTCTATATCCTTCAGACTGGAACACAGCAGTGCAAGTATACGACAGTGCAGATTACTAATTGCACGCAGAAATCGACACGACACATCGAAAAAGTGGCTCCAGGCTATCGCCGTACTGATCCGAGTGAATACATAATTTCTATAAAAACTGAAAAAAACGCCGTCATAAGGTCTAAAATTGCGTGACGAATAAAACCGTCAGAATCTTAAAACATTTTTTAAAAATGATTGATTTAAGTAATCAAAATAATGAGCAAGTAAATTATGAATATTGATGTTATGAATATATTTGAGTGATTCCCAAGCTATTCTATATGATTAAGTAATTTCGTTGTAATTTCAACTATAGTGATTTTTTAAAGGTGTTTTCGCAAATAATTATGATCGAGTCAAAATTATACAATTGTGTTTTTGAACAATCAAATTCAAGATAAAGACATGAATTTACCTATATCAAAATTCCAATTTCGTTAGTGGTGTCATAGTCCTATACTATTCGATGAAAGGAGGTGCATTTTTTCGCGGTGTCGCCTTAATAAGACAGAGATACCTACCGGAGTCTTACAATGTAGCAGTGTGATCGACATTATTACATTTAGTAGTTACCTTAAAAGGTGGGTCCAGCTGAGTGGCAGTGAACTCTAAGGTGCACTGCGCGCCATTCAGTGCCGGCGGCGGGCTGAGCAGCAGCTCCCGCACGTGCAGCTTGGTGGCGCTGTACTGCAGCCCCGAGCGCACCAGCGCCGCGTAGTACTCCACGTAGCGCCGCTGGGACGGGATCGTAACACCTGCAACGCCAACCAACACAGTTCATTATTAGCCTACACTGCTATAATGCTCATCGCTATCTTAGCAATATCAAGAGGGTAATGAACGCAAGTTCACAATTAAAGTATATTTCTATAATTCTTTTATATGTTACATGTTTCATCAAATTGTTTAAAAAAAACATGTAGTAGTGGTGTAAAAATATCCACATATTCGAAAAATAAGAGGCGACATAGGGAAACCAAAACAGCAGACGGACAGCTCCATCTTCTTGATGACAAAATAAAAGATAAAAAATCCTCTCTATGAGGCTCTGATGGTAATGAACGAGGAGGTTATAATGATAATGGATGATTTATATCTCTATTGCTCTGTGCAAAAATCCGACTCGAAGGACCTTACCAATGATTTAATAATATTTTACTTACTATTCGGTGTTGATATTCAACAATAGAAAATATTGTTCAAAAATAACTTATTAATTTATACGAAAATATTTAAGCAGTATAAAAGGGTTTACAAACTTTACTAATATATTTACAGTAATTAAGAGTTGGTTTGACAATTAAGCTTGAAATATTCCTTTAGGATTTGTGGATTGTAACAAAGCAACTATTATTTTAATTGTCTTTTTGAATATTTCATTTTAAGTATTTTCCATATATTTACAACCTATATATAAAAAGAATGTCTTTAATTTTCAGATTTTTGTAATTTATACATTACATCCGTTGTACTCGTGTATAATTTAAACTACTCCTTCCATGTCCATGTTTTAGCTTTCAATCTGCAAACGAACTTAGGTTTCTGTTTGTTTCGTCTAGAACATACGAATTGAATTTGAATTTGAAATTTTTTCAGAAATAATGATGTAATTTTGGACATGGACTATACGCGTCAGAGAAAGGGAGAGAATTGATGCGTTCGAAATGTGGTGCTGGAGGCGAATGCTGCGAATACCGTGGACTGCGAAGCGCACAAACGTGTCAATCCTATCACAACTCAAGATCAAGACGCGTCTTTCCACCACGTGTCTTCAGCGCATCCTCAGCTATTTTGGTCATATCTCTCGCCGCAGGGACGAAAGTATTGAGAAATTGATAGTTGTTAGAAACGTAGATGGAAGAAGGTCCAGAGGTAGATCTCCAACCCGGTGGTCGACCAAGTCAAAGAAGTCGGTGCGCGAAATTTCTACGACGCTCTCCGTATGGCCAGCGGAGATCATAAACAATAAACTTACTCTTTAATAATTTTCAATAATAATTAATACTTGTGATTGTTGTCACTTGGTGAAACTTCGGCTTTATTTTTGTGTTTATCCAAATCACAAAAAGGACTTCCAATAAATTTTGACAGTTCGGTAGTGCAGTAGTATTTGACCAGCATATGTTTGTATGGCCAACAAATATTTTTTCCCTATTAACCTCTGATGTGGAGATGCTGGTTTAAAGTTAGAGTGGGTTATCGCTTTGTAAAAAAAAGATGAATAAGTATTTATATTAAGTTAAGTTAATTTACATTCCACTTTTGGGCATAGGTACCCTCTCATTTTTTAATTACTATCTACATAAAAAATAAATTGTATTTATTTTAACACAATATCTGGTTACGTTTTAAAAAAAAAACTCAAAACCAATTCGACTATTTATCGTAACTTACCCTTTTCATCATAAGTTCGCTCTGCTCCGTAGAACTTAAGAGCTTCGTCCGCCGTCGCCTTCTGACCGCTATAGAGTAAATAGCAGCATACCATTGTACCTGTAACATTTAAACAGAATGTTAAAATCAAAAAAGGAAAATTTTATCATTCAACTTCTAGATTAGGGATTGTTTTATCAGATGTGTGGCCATTTTAATTATTTATATAGAAGTGAATACAGATATTTTCATCGTAATGTTTTCAATTAAATAATTCAGTACGTGTTAGTCACGCCGAAGCTATATTATGGTTGTAGCACGAATTGGTCGGTTCAACTTAGGAAAGACAACACCCTCACAGAATACTAGCGTAAAATAGCAGCTTAATTCTGCTGTATGTATGGTGAATGAAGAGAAAAGGAGAACATTTTTAAAGGAAAATAAGGATTTTTAGTCCTTAGTAGTGGCAACGCATCTGCATTTGGATTCTTAACTTGATTTTTGCCCAACTGTCACAGAAGGGGGCAATGTCTTTCGAGATTATATACTTCTTTGGGACGCTCTGTAGCCTAAAAACATGTGACGTGTCGTTACATTTGTCTTAATTGTAAGTGACACAGGGTTCAGTAAACTTTTCTATGCAGACGAGGTTTTTTTAATTACTGTTTTAACTATTCGGCCTGTTTAATACTATGTAAATAAAGACTGGCTACATCGTATGGTGACGTCATAAAATAATTCATTACCCCATTTCGTGCGGGTGTTGTAAGAAGCGACTATCAGACATGCGAAAAAGATCTTATGGCTTACTTACTTATATGTTCATACTTTCATATATTTGAACTGCAGCATGGCTCTACAATTCAAAACAACATTATTACATACTTAAACGAATACAGAAAAGCAATAATTGTTGTAAATTTACTATGATTTTGCATGCCCGTAATGAGGGTGAAATATGTCCTGTGCTATAAGTTACTTTAACATCTTGTGTACCAACCATATTTCTTGCAAATAAATGATTTATGATTATGATTATGACAATATTGCCCCCTGTCCTGTACCATTGGAGATATTTTCCTACATTGTACAATATATGAATTGATTATATTTGTAACTTGATTTCTCATCACATTTAGCAAGATTGTCAAACTGCGGCCAATCATTACTACTATCACTATTATTACTATTATTATAATAATAGGATATTATGTATATGTATAAGAGACTAGCCCAAAAAACGAATTTGTGCAGTTAAAATATGTTTCCTGTTCTATAATAGCTGAATATTAAACACAATATGTCAAAACACTTATATTTGGCAACAACTCTACCTTTGGTTTATTGTACTACTCCAAGAGGTTGAGTCTTTATAATTTACATAAAATTTTATGTAGTGTAAGTATAAGTCATAGTTACTTCATGTTTTTCACATAATCCACCATTATCCACTTCCGATTTTATTGCATAAACCTTACCAATTACCATCTTTACTATATTAAAATTTTATCCTACTATACTAGGGGTTCAAATACTATATGTAATTCTAAAATAATATATAATGGAAGAAAGTACTATAAAATTGATTTAAAACTGAATTATGGCATGTCCCATGTTGTGGGTCTTGCATTGAGGGTCTTGTAACTTTGTAAATGAATGAATAAGTTACTCTTGACTTGGTACTAGCGACTACTACAAATTTAAGAAAGACTGACTATGGAGTAATAATATAAGTAATTAAGAGAGGATTTTGATACGGGACTGATAGGTCCCATGTTAGGTGAGGCTTAACAAAACAATGCTACTGTGTAACTTGCCTAACATGTCGTAAAAGACGACTAATAGAACATTGAGTCCGATTGTGTAAGATGGGTTGGCCACCAATCAAGATTCATCTATTACTATTTCTTTTGGCCAAATATGGTCACACTAGCTCGCAGCCTATTTGAGTCTGCCTATGCCCTCGGGGTTACCAGGTGTGACGCTATTTACTTTGACATGAAACTGTCAATAAAGGCTTAAAGCAGCAAAAATATTCTTCTAATTAAACATTCTACAGCTTTTTTGCCTTATATTATATTTTACATATTTTTATGTAATAAAAGTTAGCAACAATCACATCTGGCACAACTAGGACGAGTGAGTACCAGTGAGTACCACTGCGCGTTCTATACTTTTTTATAGGGGAGGGAGCAAAAGAGCTCACCGCGATGATCGCTGCCCATAAACAACAATACCTGGGTAGTAGCAGGTGTGTGGCCGGCCTTTTTAAAAGGAGTAAGCCTGTTTCTTGAAAGTAACTAAGTCGTATTATGCTTGAGTGTTATACTCTATCTGAACACACGAATATTTTTACTTACTTACTTTAGTCGACGACGCGGTCGAAATTCGGCAAATGGGACACCTTAATTATACACAACACTAAAGACGGAACTTTTGTTCTATACGACCTTTTGGTACGGAATCATTTCCATTCATAATTTAGCAAGCGAATCGAGCAATCACTATACCATATGTAGTGTGAGGTACATAGATCAGTCCTATGTTTTAGTGCTTTTAGATGCGACTTTTCCGAGCATTCACTGAAGAATGGTTCAATAGTGAATTAACCTAATGAGACCACACAGGGTGCGATAGATACAGACAGCTTAGAACTACGCTTTGTGACAATCTATGGATGAGATTTATGTTGTAGATGTGATTTTTTTATACGGTTTTCTCGTTATTCTATAGAATATTTTAATATTTTTGTAATCTTTTGTAAATTCAGTGTTATATGCCCATAGGAGTAAATAGGGTAACGATCTATATAACACAGTCAACACTCATCTCGGACGTACAGATATACATATCATTAATTAATCTGAGGGCACGGCAGTGCCCCCGCCAAGTCGAGCAAAAAAGCGGCACGGCCGTACCATCTTTTCTCGAAGCAATTCAGGCCATTTTCGACCCCTTATAACTTCATGGTCAATAAAACTAGAAGCCTGAATTTTCAGTACCCGAGTAAGCATTGTATAAACATGGTATATTTAAAATTTCATTCAATTTGAACCAATATTTTAAGAATTGTAACCAGTCAAAATTTCTTAATTTTGTCGCTCACTGACTGACCGATCATCAAAACTCTAAGGCACTTCTAGCAGACATAGAAGCTTCAAATTTAGAATATAATTAGTGTTTAGTGTATAAATCAAGGAAAAACTAAAACATTTGTTAATTTCTGTCCAGTTTTTTAGATACACTAACTGCATAAATAAGTTTGTAATCCCATATAAATATATAGAATTACAAAGTTACATTTGCAGTGAATGAATCTGTGTACTTGTATATGTATTACAGGTGTACATAGGTACGTTGTTGGTACTCAAGAAGTAGACGGTACCGGAAAGGTAAAAAATTAGGACTATCTTATATACAAAAAGAAATGAGATACCATTAAAAACATAACTTGTAAAAAAACCAAGTCTCGCAACTCAGTTCTTCTACCGTAAAAGTTGTGAGATCCATGTAATACCAAGTCGGTTAATTTATTCAGTTCCTACTTAAGGGTCCTTCTGTTTTAAGTTATTACATAATTAGCTAACCTAACAACATTTTATAGTGACCAAATCAATTTTAATAGTCTTTTATGTTTTAAATATATAGATTGACTTGGCAATCGCATTGAGCAATCTAATTTAATATAATACGTATTACTTGTGAGATACATTGTGGTTTCATGCGATGGCCAACTCAATCTATATATTTAAAACATAAAGGACTTTTAACATTGATATGGTCACTATAAAATGTTGTTAGGTTAGCTAATTACGTAATAACTTAAAACAGAAGGACCCTTAAGTAGGAACTGAATAAATTAACCGACTTGGTATTACATGGATCTCACAACTTTTACGGTAGAAGAACTGAGTTGCGAGACTTGGTTTTTTTACAAGTTATGTTTTTAATGGTATTCTATTTACACAAGGAAATTCACTACCGTAGACTATAAGACTTGCAAATATATAAGCACACGGGCTGTGTATAAATCTGCCAGTTTTTTTGCACGTGTAAACTTCTTAATATATATAATAGATATTATATTATATAGATATTTTAATCATCGAAGCATATATATGGGTGGAGAAGAGCTATGGAGAGTATGATGACCGTGACCTGCTTGTACTGTTATTTTTTAATAATAGGAAATTTTGTATGTATAATTATGACACAGGTGGATAATATGGCCTCAAAATGATTTCTTATATTTACACAAATACTACAAATATAATAAAACTATTTTTACGGACTATGTGGCGTTTATTTAACGTTTTAATTCTCGACATTTCGGGCTCTTTACAGCAGCCATGACCAGTTAGTCTGCCATGGTCAAACATTATCCTTCTAGTTCTACAGGACGCAGCAGTGACAAGCTTGATTGTGCATGTGTTCTCTCTTACATAGGACAAACAAAAAGATCGATTTAAAACTGTAAAAAACATACAATAGCTGACCTGAAGCAATGACGTGCCGGGGAGTTTGAAATATGTGAACACGTTCAGGATTGTCTTCGTGTGAAATATTATATCAGTATAATGAACAATATTATGGCTATTGTATATTATGTTATATTATATAATAAATAATTCTTTAGTACGTGTATTCACCCCTCTTAATGACTGTATTAATTTAAATGATTTTTTGTATTTGAATGGGTCTCTGAATGATTTGCATTCACAATTGGAGTAAGTGGAGCTATTTTCGAGATTCAGGAATCACCCGTGCGAAACCGGCAGGGATCGCAAGTATATTAGGTATACATTAATTTAAATTTATTAAAAAACCATTGATCACAAATATGAATCGACCTTCGTTAATGCCCTGGGCAAGTGGTCATCTAGATAAAAATGAAAACAAATACATAGTAGCCTACAAAGAGGTACGCAGAGTGATAATTATAATATGTAACCTTGGCGGGGATGACTTCTATCCGTCAACTGCAGCTGAGCTAAGCTATCATGTTTACAATTACAATGCTACTAAATAGACAGTGCTCCAGATAAAGAAGATTCGGTAATGACTCAATCACAATTAAACCAAAAAAATAATTAAATCCGTATTATTAGTTTTATTCAATG